CGACAGTGTTTGTTATTGCAATATCTGATTTTCAATTTATCATGATAATAAGAGGTGGATTCAAGTAAAATATATATATCTTTTATAGAAAAGTGTTCTATGATAAATTATAAAAACGATTATTCGTATTTTTATTTTGTCGATCATGAATATTCGCTGCTTCACACAGTATTTCTCAATGAAGTGAAGCTCGAAGGTCATCTAGTTTCATTTTAAGTATAGCGTGAAACCAGCTAGTTGCGAAAACTCAGTAGTCTTATTATTCGAAAGAGCAAAATAGCTACTAAAAATCTGTCGTTCAAAATACTTAACTATGACTGAAAAATCTTTTAAATTCTCTGCATACTTCTGAAACACACTAACATAAAATGTGATTTGTATCTATTGTTCAGAACATCTGTGATACTTGCTACATAATTGAACAATTTTATAACTTTTCCACTTTAATTGAAATTAAAAACATGGATTTTCGAAGAGCGAAACGGTTAGATCTAAACATTTAACCAATCTATGTTGGCTTGATCTCAATCAGACTATTTCGAGAAAATCTATTATTCGACATCGATCAATCTCTCAACGTTTTCTCAAATAATGGCCAGTAGATTCAACTGTCTCCCTTTTATGTAGCTCCACATGCTAAAGAAAATACTAAATGAATGGCTAGCCAATAGATTACAGCATATTTTATTTTATTGTGAATCTAGAAAAAAAAGAACTCGATTCGCTAAAGAAAGTTGATCTTATTTGTCGTCTCTTATCATGCTACAATAAATCATTGTAAACAGATAAAAATAAGACTTTTTTCCAGCAGTTGAAGTTAGTGAGTTCTCTACAAAAGCACATTATATAAAACAGAGTATTAAACATTATGAGAAAAATCTCATTGAGCATTGTATTAAGAAAAAAATCAAATTTTTAATAAAACTCTTTTCTATGAAATCTGTAGTTTTGTAACTCGAATATTATGATACTGTTAAAAAGTGCATACCGCTTTGTTTATATTCACACATCCTACATACTTCGAAAGTCAAATACAAGACACTTTTTCAATTTGATAAGTATTTCGAACGAAATATCCTTAAACTGAAACTTTACTCTTTTAAACAAGTCTCTACTTTTCAAAAATTAATTTATTACATTGTAAAATTTGATATATATATCAAATATCTTCTATATAAAACAAAAAAAATTCATTCGACACTGTCTCATATAGTTTGACCATACAAGTTGAGTGCCATTGTTCATTTAATAAAAAAAGAAAGAATGTGGCGCTTGACATCTATTGAATATTAATGGAATAATGATCGTTCGTTTCTTTTTCTTTCTTAGTTGATATTTTCTTTAAAATTTATTCTTGATTGAATATAAAAAATAGCAAAACGAAAATTAGATAAACCTATTCTTTATTATTATTATTATTATTAATCAAATTTGTAAAAGTAAGTTTATTATTATTTAAATTTTCTTCATATGTTTTTCTTTGATAATACTAACAGATGAGTTTAATTAATTTAACAATATAAAATAATTAATCGATAGATTTTATATAAGAAATAAATTTCAATTGTAACTTTTAAATTCTATACTTTATATAACATTAATATAGTTATTAGATTGATTAAATTTATATCAATGAAATAATTTTATTTATTTGTTGTTTTCTTTTTTTGTTGAATTATTGAAAATTTCTTATGGATTTAAAGCAAAATAAAATGAAATCCTTATGAATTTTTATATTATCTAATCATTTTTGATTATATTGAATATGCTTTTTTTTTTGTTTGTTTATCTCTAGAAAACAATAATATCATGTCAGATGAAGAAGAAATGATTGATGATGGTGATGAAGAAGAAGAAGAAGAATATAATAATCAAATAATTGAACCAATAATTGATGTTTTACAAATTGATAATGAATTATCATCAACACAATATCGTTTTAAAAAAAATGAAATTATGCTTTGTTATCATGGTTTATTATTATATGAAGTTAAATGTGTTGATCATAAAATGAAAGAAAATGATAGTGAAAATTTTCATCGTCCATCATATTTAGTACATTATTGTGGTTGGAGTTCAAAATGGGATGAATGGGTTGATGAAACACGTCTTGTTAAAATGGATGAAAATGGTTTAAAACAACAAGCACAATTACTTCTTCAATATGGTAAAGGTAAAGCTCGTTTAAAAAATTTACGAAAAAATAATAATACAAGTCCATTAAAACGAACAACAAGTCGATCTATATCGGATTATTCAACAAGTACAAATGTTGATTCAATTATAAATGAAACATCAACAACAAATATAAATAACAATAATAATAATAATAATAATAATAATAGTCATTTTCCTATAGAAGAAACACCATCTTTATCTGGACGAAGTGATACAGGAAGTAGTAGTAGTAGTAGTACAACAAGTGAATTAATATCAAATACTGATTCAACAATTACAAATAATGATTTAATTGAACCTGATGCAAAAAAATTTAAACGAAGTATAAATACAACTGGAAAAATAACAAATAAAGATAAAAGTAAAATTTTTATACTTTGAATAATCTTATGATGATGTTTGTTTTTTTTTGTTTTGTTTTCATAAAACAAATTTTTTTATATACAGTAGTTATCAAAAATTTTGGTATCAAATAGTGAAGGAGTAGAAGATCAACATAGATTTTTGCTTTTTATCCCTTATCCAAAAGTGTAGTGCTACTTCCCTATTACTGATAGAAATTTCATGTCAAATAATTATAGTTTTCTTGATTTATATATTTATCTTTGAACATTCTTAATATAAGAGTTAATGTGATCCGTCAAAAAATAGTCAATTATTCACCTATGAAAATAGTTAGTATATCTGTTTCTGGACCTTACAGGAGTTTTCAAAAACAAAATATCATGGTTTATCAAGTATTTCTTTTTGTTTTTTAGCTAGAAAATTGCATCAAACCATTCTTTCTTCTACTAATTTTAAAAACAACTAATTTTGCACGCTTACAAATTTATTTGAACAAAAAATTATGATAAACTAAAGTTATATTCTTAAAACTTCGGTCATTCAAAATGATTCTTGTTACTTATGTTTTTAGGAAAAATTATTAGTACAATCGTTGTAAGATTAAAATGTAAAACATGGTATAACTGCTGTTGCTAATCACAAGAGAATTATTTCATTCTATCTATTTCGAAACACTTAGTTTCATCATCGTTTATTTTAATCCTCAAGACATACAATAAAGAAATCGTTCATATATTAGAGCAAGATATTAAGTTTTTATTCTTATACAGTACCTATCAGAAGTCCCGGGATATGTGAAAATCCAAGTAAAGTTGAACCATTTTCTACCAATTTTTTACAGCAGATAGAGCTCGAAAAAACTGATCACAAGCACCAACCCAGTCTAAATCCACTGTAGTATGCGGGAGTTCTTAGTCAAACACTGATTCCACTGCGGATTGCTGTTGTCTCAGCTTTATTCGATATATTTTTAGCGATAATTATAGCCTCAGTTATGTACTATCTTGTGGAGAAAGAACAACTCGATTCACTCTGGTACAAATGTTTAGTGAGCTGTGCACTAACGATGTCATTACAGGGCGGTGATACCAGTTTAGTACGAGCTATGACTCTGAAAGTTTCAGAATACACCAATAGACATCTGAGAGTACTGTAAAAAAAATTTCAAAAAAAATCGGCTAATTGAAATTCGATTTATGCAGTAACGACTTGAAAATCACTGAAGTTGAGATGCCATTAACATACCTTTAGAAAATCATATCTTAGCAACTGAAAAGATTTTTCTAATAAAAATGATATCGAAGAAAGCTGAGATAATAGCAATCGTTGGTGGAATCAGTGTTCGACTAAGAACTCCCCCGTATCACACTGGACTGAGACCCGGTTGGTGCTTGCGATCATAGTTTTTTCAGGTCTATCACTGGTAAAAATTTGATGGAAAACAATTCAGCTTTACCTGCATTTTCACATGTCTCGGGACTTTTGACGGATACTGTATTTCAAATTGTCCGTTTGGACTATGTTTGTTTTTTTTTCATAAAAATCTAAAGAAATTTTTTTTATTAAAAATTTATTTAGAATCTGAAACAATATCAACTATTATTAATGATTTATCACCATTGATATCAGTTCAACATGAAACATGTCAACGTTTAACACGTCGTTTTTATTCATATCAAATGGAATGGTTAAAATTTCCATCTGAACTTGTTGAATTATTAATTAATGATCGTGATCTTATAAATAATCAAAATAATCTTCTTTTAATTCCACCAAATGATTCATCATTAATTATACGTAATATATTTAAAAATTATTTAGAACAACAAATAAATGAATGTTCATTAGCTGAAGTACTCGCTATAAAAACTTTAATATCATCATTAATTGATATGTTTAATATAGCACTTGGAAAATGTTTACTTTATCGTTTTGAACGTTTACAATTACGACAATTATTAGAAAAAGATTCTCAAATATCATTATGTGATTATTATGGTTCAATACATTTACTTCGATTTTTATGGCGTATTAAAGATTTATTACGTGATATGAGTGCAAATACAAATCGAGATGAATTTGGTTTATTATTAGGACGTATACAACATTTTTTGAATTATTTATATGAAAATAAAACAATATTATTTCCTTCAAATGAATATGATATTTGTTCAACAGAATATTATCGTTGTTCGTTGCAATGTTTTCAATAAAAGTCTTTTTGGTTTTTTCTTTTTTTTTTTTTGTATTTTTATTATTGTTATTAAAAGTGAGTAAAACTAATAAAAGAAGAAGAACAAGAAAAAAAAAACAATGTTTAATCAGTTCTAAAACTGTCATATTTATTTATTTGTATGATATGATGTTACGATCTAAGAAAGAATCATTCATTAATAATAATGAACCATGTAAATTTGTTCAGATTGATATTTCTATTGCTATTATTATTATTGTTCTTATTTACAAGTTACACAATTTTAATCACATATTGATAAACTTTTATGATAATTTGAACGAGAATGGCGTTCAGATTTACTAAATTGTTTTTTTCTTGATAAAGAAAATAATGTATCTAATGTTGTCAAATCCGAATCTGACATATCGTCATCATTGGATTTCGAAACTAAAGAAAAATCTTTATTTGTACGATTATGTATATGACGAGTTGATTTCCTTCGATATTTTTTTCTATTTGAATTACTATGTCTAGGTGAAGTATTATCTAATCCAAGTTTCGATAAACTAGCTGCAATTCGTTCAGCTTTTTTACGACGAGATTCATCAAAAGATTTACGAATAGATGTTCGACTTTTTAAATTTTCATTTGTTTCATCATCATTAAATAATGTTTGTTTACTTGATATACGACTCGATCCCATAACTAATGATGGACTAATACCACATTGGTTTAAAACACCTCCTGATGGTAATAATGGAGCTCCAGCTGGTACAGGACCACATGAATTACAATCAGCTATAATAGGTGGTGCAATATTAGGTACACATCGTGGAACTGGTACTTGTTGAACATTAGGAATAGGTACAGGAGCTGGACATGGAACTGGATATGGTTGTGGTACACATACTGGGCGTGGATAATAACTTATTGCAGGTGGTGGTGGTACTGATGGTGTACAATAACAACAACAACATGACATACCACCACGAGCATTATATTGTGGACAAAAACCACCAAATGATGGTGGTGCTAGTAAAGGATTTGGTGTACCACACGGATAAGTCATTACCATACCAACATTACATGGAAAATCAAGTGACGGTGGTCGAAAAGCCGAAGGACCTGTTGATAATGCCGACATAAATGATGATGGAGTCATCCAATTACAACAATTCGTTGATGACATTGGATACATACATTGAACAAGTGGATTACATGCAGTAGGTAATGGAGTAGCAGCTGCTATCATTGGAGAAGCCATAGGCATACAACATGATGCTGGAAGACAAGGCATAGAGCATGATGCTGGAAGACAAGGCATAGGACATGATGCTGGAAGACAAGGCATAGGACATGATGCTGGAAGACAAGGCATACAGCATGATGCTGGAAGACAAGGCATCATTGGCATTAATCCATTACCCATTCCTAACATGCCTTGTAATTGTGAAAATTTAGCTAATTTTCTTTGCATCAATGGTATCATTTGCAATGTTGTATTGCCCATATATAATTTACCATAATTCCAAGGAGACTGACCTGAGATATGAATGCAATTGTACGTTTAATTATTTTTTTTTGTTTTAAGTAAAACTTACCACGACTCAATGGACCACCCATCAGGGTTGGTTCAAATGATTCCGTTGGTAAATATCTAGGACCATATCCATATATATCATAAGGATCCTCACCCAAGCCAGCTCCTGGTCCATAACCTGGAGGATAAGGATATGGAGGCGGCCTACCATAACCACCTGGTGGTGGTAGTGGTGCTGCATATTGATAGAAAGGATCATTGGGTGGTGGAAAACTAGGATCGAACGGATCCTTCTTCTTTTTACCGAATCTCCCACCCATAACTGTTGTTAGAAAATTTTATTCTAGTTGGTACATATTTAGTTATCTATTCTTACATCATCACTGTTTAACCATGATAATGAAACAGTCAAAAAAGAGAAGAAGTTATTTCTCAGGTGTCTGTATAGTTATAGTTGATTTTTTTCTTTTTTTTTCATAATATGCGTGTCGTTTGTGTTTTTTTATTCGCTTCATTGCTATATAATGTAATAGACGTACACCCAACTACGTTAGCCATCAATTTTGTCTCCTAACGTAACATAGTTGTTGGCCTTGTGTTAATAAAAGTTGTCTATATAGTCCAAGGCTAGATGATGTCATGTTCAAGATCATTGAATGAAAAAAATAATCATGTAGACATAATATATTATTATTATTTTTTTGCCAGCCTACAAGGGCTTCTCTTGATTTTTTTGCAATCAATAAAATTACACAAATCTTCAATTAAGAGTCAAAAAAAAAGAAAACTAATTAGTTTATCATTCCGAGGACAAACGTTTTTTTTCTCTTTTGTTTTTTTTTAAATAACAACAAATGTATTGGTTTCATAAGACACAATAATACAGAGACAAAAAAAAAGACAGAAAGAAAGAAAGAAAGCATTAGAATTCACGTCGATGATATCGATCTGGATCATAATACGATGTGACAACTACACGATTTGCAAATTTTCGTCCTGTTAAAGCTTGTTGAGCTTTTTGACATTCACTTATTGAAGTAAATTCAACAAAGATCTATATATATATGAAAGAAAACAAATATGTATTATATAAATGAAATATTTCTTTTTTGCTGTTACTTTTCCAACACCAGGTACATCAACACCTTGAATTGGTCGAGGAATTTCAAGACTTTTAACAAATCCATATTTACCACATTCTTCTCGTACATCTTCCATAATATCTATAAAAAGAAAAAAAAAAAGACAATATTTAATATGAAAACAAAAAAAGTAAAAACTGATATAAACCTTCATATTCTTCATCATCACGTAATTCTTCTTCTGTAACCATATTTAATAAACATAAAACTTCAGTGGCTACACTTGGTGCTAATAAATTAACACCTGGTAATTGAACACCGATAGCACCGGGTACCTATAAAAAAAAATATATATTTTTTAATTTTTTAGAAAACAAAAAATTTTATTGTTAACTTACTCCAGGCATATTTTTTGCGCCAACACTTGCTAACTGTACAATTAATTTTTTATCACCTAATTGCATACCATTAAGACCTTGAATAGCTGCTTCAGTTACACTAGGATCAACATATTCACAAAAAGCATATCCTTTAGATAGACCTGTTGCAGCATCTTTAACTAAATTAAATGCTTTTAATGGACCAAAACTCATTAATAATTCTTTGACCTAAAAATAAGATTTACTCATCATTTACCAAATGAAAAAAACAATAAGAAAGAAAGAAAATTAGGGAAAATAATTGTATATTATTAGTATTTTTTTTTTTTTGTTTTTGCTTATTTATCTAGAAAAATAAAACTCTAAATTTATCGGAAATGATCGAAACTCACAGAAAATAAATAAATATATATGTATATATGTCCATTATTTGGTTGTTCTAGATGTATAACAAGCGTGATGAATTTTTATTTTAACCAAACACTCGATACATCATCGCTGATCTAGTCTAGAACAACAATATACAAAATCAATTTTTTTTTGTTATTTCTCATTATGAAGTTTGTCGTTTAGGACCGTCACGAATAAAAAAAAAACAAAACAAAACTAATGTTTTATTATTGATTATAAAGATGGAGATAAAAATTTTATTTTTATTGAATTTGAAAATATAGTAATTCTTATTTAGAACTGATGTAAACATCAAATGAGAACAGTATGCGAAACTCGATTTAATCTCGGTACTGTATGATTATAAAAAAAACAAAAAAATTATTCAACACGAAAATACAGATTGCAGTCAAACATTCAATGCTTCTACGTACATAATCTGATAAATCATAGGAAATATAAATCAGGGACAATGATAAAATACAAGTGATATTTGTCAATAAATCAAAAATGTAGATAAATTCTGAATTCGTTCTCTCTCAAGTGAAGCAAATAATCATCAGAATCAGAACTAAAATTATTCGGTTCTGCATATCTATAATCTCCTAGAGAAACTACTAATATAAAAAAAGGATAGAAAGTAGTTAAATATGCACTCATTGAAATATAAAGAAAACAATCTAACTAATAAACCTCTCGATATCTTAATGGTCTTTTACACAATAAACCCATTGTACTGATGATTAACTTTGACATTTCAAATGGAGCCTTGAAAGTTTTTAATTGTCCTAATTAGTGAATTATTTGAACTACAATCTAAGAGAAATATTGAAATCATGACAGACACAACCACAATATCAAGGTTAATATAATAGAGTTGTCCTTCACTTTTTTTTTCATATTCAATACAATATATTACAAATAATATCTTTCATCATCGGCATACATTAATAGTAGATAAGAACTCATAAACTAAAACATATATTGATTAATCTTTTCTTTCATAATACTAATTGTTTCATCGTATCTCATATCAAAACTCATAGAAACTACGCTAACAGTGTTTTTTTTTCAAATTATTTTATTGAAACTTATTCACGTCTGTTATTTCTTAGACAGACGATGCCATGTTATTTTCTTTCTTAGAAAAGAACTAATAAGATTATATATATATAAATCTCACTCTCATAATATTACTAAAAATAAATGTCACGATATCAATACTCATGTTTACTATTAAAATCGAAATTTTTCTCATTGATCAACTAAAGTAAAAACATTAATTATTATTTTCGCGACGGTCCAATTTACTCATTTGTATATATGTTTGAAACTAACCTGATCATCATTTAAATAATTTGGTAAACCACCAATAAAAATTTTAAATGGTGAATCAGCTACAACAGTAGAAACAAGTCCTAGCAAAAACAAAACAAAACAAAATCAATAATTTATATATAATAAATTGTTTATATTGAAAATTTTACCAGGTACATTTGAATTAGGTACATCACCTCCACCTGGCATTGGTTGATAATCTCTTGGTCGACGAATTTTAAGTGATTGTCCTTGAAAAACAATACCATCAAATGCCATAGCAGCTGTTGTTTCATCAATTGAACGAAACTAAATGTTTTTTTTTTTTTTTTATAAATAGAAAAATTTCAATCAAAAAAATTTACTTCAAGAAAAGCAAAATTTTTATCAAGATTTATTTGAACAGCAATAACTGGATTTCCTTCTGTTTGTGATAAACCTGTTAACTGCATTTGTTGATTAAAAAATTCCATCATTGCATTCTATAAATAATAAAAACATATATAAAAAGATCAAATCGATTGACTAAGATTTTTTTTTGATAAATTTTATTGAATCATATATCAATAAAGTTATTAATATGTACTTTTCATTAATCTTTGAATACAATGGAATAGATCAAGAAAAATCAGTATCAGCTTGTCCAAGCGTAACGCGATGACGTTTTGTACGTTATGGATCCAAATTTTCTCAGCAACAAAATCATTGATTTTTTCGTCAGAAGATGTGTCTTCTTATGTACTCTTAGGATCCGATAAATTTGAGTTTATTTAGCAAAAATATACAACGTTACGCGATGATGAAAATTGGAAAAATAAAATCCTTTTTCTGCCATTAATGGTGAATAAATGCGAGTTAAATCTCATAATCTGAAAATCTCAAATAACTTTTACACATTTTCTCTCTTATTTACATAGGATAATATTGGTCATATTTAGACCTGATTTTTCAAACTACCGGCATTGAAGATGCCGCGTTACGTGGACAAGCCGTTATATGTTTTTTTTGTTCTATTGTATTCATTTTTCATACTTCTGAAACACCAAATGGAATATTTCCAACATATAAACGACGTGATTGATGTACAACATGACTACCAAGTACTGGTGTTGCTGCAGCTGTATTCGCACTCCAATCTTTTCCAGTAAAAATTTGAGAAATTTGACCAGATGCTAAAAAGAAACAAAACAAAACAAAATCTTTAATATCTTTTCAAAAATAAATAATTTCTTTTTTGTTTGTCTCTTAAAAATATACCTTGCATAGCTTTATATTGAACAGGTGTAATATGTTCAAAACCAACTGGTGGTACATCCCAATATTTATATTTTTTAACAGGTTTTTTATCATTTTTATTTTCTTTTTTTGAACGATCTTTTGGTGAACGTGAACGACTATGTTTATTACGATGATTATCATGTGGGGAACGTGATCGTCGACGTTTACTTTCTTTTTCACGTGAACGATCACGATGACGACGAGATTTACGATCTCGAGAACGTGATCGAGATGAACGTCGATTTGTTTTTTCTAAAATACAAAAAAGAAGTTTTTTACATAAGAAAATTAATATAATTTTACCTGGTTCGTCGTTTGCCATATTTTGATGTAAGAATTTTTTTGAGTATTGTATTGAAACGAATGAAAAACAAAGTATAATTGCCTATTTTAGACAATATGGAGGACTTTAACCAATTAGAATTCAAAAAAACTACAGAGGACGCTCGATAACGATGTTATGAAGAAAAAATGTTAAAAAAATAGATTTTTTTTCATTTTATTCGTCATTTGATGAATGAGTTGATTCATTGCAATAGAAAATATTAAAATCAGAAATTTATACAATACGATTGAAATTAGAGAAGTTTTTTTTGCTTGTGTTAGAATGTGCTCACTATTTTCAAACTTTTAGATGTGACTTGAATTGGAATAAAACAGTTAGCTATCTTCTAACTATCATTCTATCTATCTATGATATGCCGACAGTAGTACACGACATGAGTTCTATGTAATTTTTATGTATGTGTTCTGCTTGTGCGAAAAGGTGATCTATAAAGAAAGTCATTAAAAGAATTGTTCAGCAAAAATAGAATATTTCTGAATAGGAAGACAAACAAAATGATTTTTATCTGAATGTCTTTTATAGATCAT